ATTTTGTTGTCCTTGTGTGAGAAAAAATAAAAATTTGGATAAAAAGTTTCTCGCTCAAGCGAGGTAAGATTTTCTAAAATAGAGCATTTTGGAACTCTCTTGCTCAAGTGAGATGAATTTCGCTCAAGCGAGATAAGATAAAGTTGCCCCAACTGTCTGCTCGCTCAGATGAGAAAGGGGTCTTGCTTAAGCTAGGAGCAGCTCGCTCAGGCGAGATGGAGTACACCCAGGCGAGGAGTCAGAAGAAAACAAGGAGGTTTTTGGATTCAATATCACTTAGGCAAGATAGAGCTCGCTTAGGCAAGATTATATCTCGCTCAAGCGAGAATAGCAGAAAAATGAGTAGTTTTGCTATCTGGTTGTCTCGTCCAGGCAAGAAAGGCTCACCCAAGTGAGGATGGATCTTGCTCAAGCGAGAATCTTATTGCTTAAGCGAGTCGTGCGAGAGTTTGGAGAGGTATTTAAGGAACCCCAGCTTCAAAAATGTTCATTTATCACCATACAACATTCTCTCCTCGTTTTCTCTATTCTCTCTCCTTCCCCTCTCAAGGGAAAACTCTTTCAAACTTCAAATCTCTTCTAGATCCGAGCTTAAACATCGATTTCATTCGGATCTAAGTAAGTTTCTCGGAGCTCAGATTTATATTTTTATTCTTTTCCTTTGATTTTCTTCTTATATTAAGATATATATCTTGAAATGCTTAGGAAACTTCATCTTTTGGATGATATTCCTGTTGATATCATGGAACTTCTCTATTAGATCTTTTAGAGAACTTGTTTTAAGGAATCATTTCCAGGTAAGGGGAGTTGATCCTAAACCCTAACTCTTTTTAATATTTTGGATTAAAAAGTCTTTTTATTAAAAACCCTAGAACCTTAATGTTTTTGTTAATAATCTAGAACATAGGAATAATGAGTTTGATATGAAAACCCTATGATTATTTTTGAAACTATTTAAATATAATTTGTAGTAAAAACTATGAATAAAATCATTTTGAGGAATATTATGAATTTTATTAATAAAAATTGTTAGAAAGTAATTAAGATTTGTTATTTAATGTTTTGGAATAATAGATATACGGTGAATATTAGATTATGTTAAACTCTAGGGTAGCCAACTCATTAATATTGAGTGAATGTGTATATTGAGATTGTACGAATTGGACTGAGTTCGAAGATGTCCGACCTTTGACATATTATACTGATTGTATGATGTGATATTATGTGATAATTTCTATGTTAGATTGACATATTGTACTGATTGTATGATGTGATATCGTGTGATAATTCTCTATGTTGGATTAGCATGATGCAATAAGTATAGATATAATTTAATAGTTGATATGTGTCCAAATTGGGTAAATTAACATGAATAACGGAAGTGTTGATTGATTTTGAAAGTATGTGATATATAAAAAAGAAAATAGAATATGTCTGAGAAAGAATGAGATGCATGATTATGATGCGTGAGTCAAAACAACTTGAAAAGTGTGATTACGATATATATTATGGTACATTGAATGATGTATTATAATATATATTGTGATACACAAATTTATATAAACTATAACTCACGTATTATGACATGCTGATCAATAAAAAGAGAAAGAGAAAATAAGTATAAATAGTACAAAGATACATTGGGGGTATAGAGTTCAGAGAAGATTTGGAAAATCTTAAGAAAATAAGGATGGTGAATGCTAACTATAAATGGGTGCACAATGATTTGCTAAAAATAAAGACATTCACAAGTCATACCTTCATTTTCTGACGAAACTCCTGACTATACCTTTGCTAAAAAGGGCTAGGTCTGCACACGTGTATCCGTGTTGTTGCAGCTAACCAGTAACTATCTATGCTATGAAGTCCTCAAGAGATCCAAGGGGCAATGACTATGAAAGTGTTATAGATGTGGAATAGTATAGAATTTGTATGATTATAATATATGCATTGTAACAGATCGATTTATGTTGTTACACTATATGTGTTGTAGTAGATCGACAGGTACGACTAGGACACATGTATTGTGACATATTAATTGAGATTATATGATACATATATTATAACATACATGTTAATATAGAAATGTATGTCATAGACATGGACCAAAAAATGATTGAATTATTGTATGTACTTTGATATGATGGTTGTTAGTGTAAATTGTTTATTATTAGCAATGTATTAGAATAAGATGTTAGGCTATAACTTCAGTTTTATTGAAGATATTCTATAATAAAAGAGATTTAGTGGGGTAGGAAATACTTACCCTTACTAATATTTTTTAGGTAATGAAATAAAAGAGATAGAGATGGTTGATCCGTTGTAAGGTCATATTTGTCAAGGATTTGTGGGAAATAACTGCTTCGATATGATTAGTTTAATGTAATAGATGTAATAATTTAAATTGAATATATATATATATATATATATATATATATATATATATATGTATGTATGTACGTATGTATGTATCTTCATTTTATTGACATTGAAACTTTTAACTTGGTCAAATTTTATTAGCTTATATTTCTATATTATACCATTTCTCTAAAGTTGTACAAGTTCTTACGAATTTCCTTAATTATATTTTCAATAATATGAATTATTAAATAAAATTATTTACAAGAAAAGACGGATGTTACATAAGTCATCTTGGAAGTACTCAAAACAAATAATATTGTAGTATAGCTTCTCTCATAAACAGAGGGCGTGAAACCTTAACCTTTTCTTCCAAAATGTAAGAAGCCTGTAAATGAACAAGGTTCAATGGCAAACATGATTCATTGACGTCATATTCAAAATTGCATATAAATTTCATAACAATCGGTTATCATACTTGTATAAAGATAGAGAATCAAGATTCATACAATTTGTGTTTTCTCGAGAGCTGAGATATGAATTGTGTAATGAATTTGTATTTTTTCAATATCAGGAATGGCCCGTGGACTATTCCTTCCTTGACCAAGTATGTTTGGAGTAATTTATTTAAGGTCAAACTAATTTTTTAAACAAACATTGTATTAGGGTTGAGTAGGGTTAGCTCTTTGAGCTAAAGCTCTTATTAACAGTTCTACTCTAAATCTTATGATTGATACTGAAAAAATATTTTTATGTTATTCTTTATTATAATGAAAAACTAAATTAACCCTATTTTTTAAAGGACTAAAATGATCAAATTTAGTATCTTACTTTCATCTTTAAAGGCTAATATAATGTTTATTCATAAATGTAAAAAAAGGTGCTTAATTTTATAAATAATTATAATAAATTTTCTTTTCTCAATAGTTTCTTTTTAAAAAATTTAGTGAAAAATATGATGCAAAGTTTCAATACTTAGAAACATTAATAACTTAACGAGATTAATATTTATTATGAAAATTTATAAACAAACTAATTGAATCATAAATATATTATTCTCACAACTTGTTTAAAAAAATAAAAGAATTATTTTAAGTTCACAAGGTCAAAATATATTTGACATATATACATGCTGTTTATTTTTACCTTTAAATTGGTTCTTATATTAAAAAATATCTAATTTCATTCAATTTTTTTAATCAAAATTTAATTTCTATGTAGATTGTTTTAGACTAATACAAAGCACAATTCCAGTGTACATAAATTTTATATTATATATATATTTATTTATTTATAGTTTTACAAAGTTTTAGTGTGAAGAACATAAATATTAAATTTATATTAATTAATTTTTTATAAACTACAACTTTAATAATTTAACTCTTAAATCATATTATATTATTTTTATGATAATATATATTAAAATTTATATAATTTAAATATTTATAAACATGTTATTTAAAATGATATTTATTTATATTTTAAAAATATATTGTATACTACAATAAATTTATGCAATAAAGTATTTATTATTTTAATTTTTGTATACAATTTTATAAAGTTGATATAATTAATAAAAAAAATTTAAATTAATTTTTGAATTGATTAATTTTGTATTTGATAAAAAGTTATAAAGTAACATGAATATTAATATTTAAAAATGATATCAACATATATTTACTCTATTTTGTAATTTTAATTCATATCAATTTAATAGTTTAATACAATACATGTATGTTTTAAATAAAATTAAGATCACAATTATTCCTCAAAAGAAATAATATTATTTGAATTAAAGACCTTTAAGATATCATGAAATTAATTTGTTCAATAATTTTTTTTTCATATACAAAATTTAAATTTAAAATTTACTTTTAAAAATATAAATGTATATTACATACCCACTGAAATACTTATGGAGTATGATAATACATTTTAGCCATAATTGCTAACATGTACCGTCAGACAATTTTTTTAAAATGTTAATAATATATTATTCAAACATTTTTAAATATATTATTTTATTATTAAATAAAAATTATTAAAAATAATAAAAATATGTATGTTTTATTTCTAACTTGTTTGTAATTTTATAATTTTTAATAAAGAAGATGCTAAAAGTATATTTGAATTATTAATAAAAATTTATTAACAATTATAAAAATATAAGAGATTCATATTATAATTTTTAATAAAATTAAACTAATAACTAAAAATATATTAAAAAACATATTATTAATATTTTTAATAAATTTTAACTAATAATAAAAATATATTATAAAATTTATTAGTAATAATTTTGAAAATAAGTGTTCATCACTAACTTTACCGAATACCTTGTGTATGAATGTTGAATTTTATTAATTTAATTATTAAATTTAATAAAATTATTAAAATAGTTTTTAACGCATCTTTAGTAAAATATAATAAGAATTTATGTTTAAGTAAAATTTTATTAAAATTCATATAATATTAATAAATTAATATTAATCATACTAAATATTATCATTTTTTTTTTAAAATTATTATTTATGAACTATGCGTTGACGTTAAATGGCCATATATGTGTTACTGATGACATCACATGGAGAGAGAGAGAGAGAGAGAGAGAGAGTGGTTAAGAATTAAACCAAAAACCCTACGCTAACATTTGTGTAATGATCAAAGAGAGTAGCAATCCTATATAAGCCAACACGCTCACTCACTTGTTCCAGTAACCCTAGTTCGTTGCACTGTCACTGAGCCACTCCCACTCCTTCACCAGTTGTTCTACACTGTGAGTACCAACTTCTACTCCGCAAGCCTTCTTCTGGGTCTTCCCTTTCTTCGGTTTTTTCTTCTTTTTGGCAACCCATTTGGTCAAAGTTTTGATCTTTCGTTTCCCTTTCTTTTGGGGTGTTTTCAGACTCAGAAGCCACAGGGATTCATCAACAAAAGCTACCATGTCGGATGATGAGAGGGAGGAGAAGGAGTTGGATCTCACTTCTCCTGAAGTTGTCACTAAGTACAAGAGCGCAGCTGAGATTGTTAACAGTGTGTTCCTCTCTCTCTCTCTCCTCTCATTTTTGATATGGGTTCTTGTTTTTGGATACACTGGATCAATACCTTATGTGGGTTCTTGTTAAAGCTTTGTTTTTCATGTGCTGTTTTTAGACAGAGGCTGTTTTACTTGTATGTGTGTGTGTGTGTGTGTGTGTGTGTGTGTGTGTTTGTGTTTTTTTTTTTATGTTGATGAATAATGGTTTTTTGTTTTTAATTTTATAGAGGCTTTGCAGTTAGTTATTTCAGAATGTAAACCGAAGGCCAAGATTGTTGACATTTGCGAGAAAGGAGATTCATATATTAGAGAGTAAGCTTTGTACTTGGTTATGCTCCATTCGTGTTGTTTTGTTTTAGAAGTGGTTTTGGTATTTGTTGTAGATATGTATGGATTTTCTTTTTCTTTTTTGGTGGTTTTAGCTTATGGGATGTGCTGTGTTTTTATAAAAAGGCAAACTGGTAACATGTACAAGAATGTGAAGAGGAAGATTGAGAGAGGTGTTGCTTTTCCTACGTGTCTGTCGGTGAACAATACTGTCTGTCACTTTTCTCCTCTTGCCAGTGATGAAACGGTGTTGGAAGAAGGTGATATATTGAAAATGTAAGGCTTTTCGGGAGCATTCTGTTTGATAAATAATGAAAAAGACGGCCATTAGTTTTCGCTATTACGGATGACCTGATGGCAATGGTATCTTTGGTTGATTGCAGAGATATGGCTTGTCATATAGATGGGTTTATTGCTGCTGTTGCGCACACTCATGTTCTTCAGGAGGGGCCAGTTTCAGGACGGGCAGCTGATATCATTGCAGCTGCAAACACTGCTGCTGAAGTGGCCTTGAGGCTTGTAAGGCCAGGAAGGAAGGTAATCATATGTAAGAAATTTCTTCCTATATCTGCTTTTGTACAATCTTAGATTATTTTAATTTCACTACTATAATCCTCTTTGCTATACCTTTGAGTTGATTCTATTACCCAAATAGCTTAATTTTTGTTTGGCCTCTGATTATAGTGAATCAGTGATTGAATGCTTGGATTTCTTGCCACAGCTGATTAGTATTGATTTTTTCCCCTGAAGGAACTGATTTATTGGTTTAATTGCTTTGTTGCTCGCATATTTTAATACACACTCATAGCATTTATATGGGTATTGATACCCATATCTTCATAGTACAGGCATGGGTTTAATTTTTAGAAAAATTCAAATGTAAATGGTGAATAAGATTGGTATCCGTCATGTTACCATTTGTCAACATACAACATAGCCAGTAGCTAATGGGGCTAGTTTTGGGGGGCAGGGTTATCTTCTAAAACCTTTTGTAGACACTTCTTTTCTGTCTTTGTCTAATGCTGTGTAATCATATGATATGTATTTTAATGGATACCTTGGATTATTCACAAAATATATTTATTGCATGCATGCTGTTGTGGGCTTGCATTACCCTTATCTTTGACCTTTTCCTTTTCTCTGTTGAATTGCATTTGTTACCTAATATGTTCCATCTGAAAGAATTCCATTCTTTTTTCCTGTAATGTTCCATGAAGTTGTTTCCTATATATTGTCTGTAGTGATTCTGTTAGGGTGGTCCCTGTTAATTAGGCCTTGTCAGTTGAGAGTTGGCCTTATATCCTGTTAGAATCATAGTTACTTAATATGCAATTCTCTTCAGCGCGGGCATGTGGTTTGCAGTAGGTTACTATATAAAGTATATGGCACATGGTGTTTGAGATCATGACACGTTTCAAAATATTACCCAGTACGCTCATGCTCTTATATATATATATATGTATGTATGTAATTAAAGATTTTATAATAAAATATAAATATTTAACGTATAATGTTTAAATTAGTTTAAACATGACAATTTTAACAAAATATCAGCTCCAATTCACTTTAATAAACATATTAAAAGCCAGTACTGGAGTTTGTAAACATAAAAAAGTAGGCAGCCTTGCACAATTAAACCTAATCATGAACTATATAACCTGTCACATGGAGCTTAAATCCACAAGAGTTCCAATACATTGAGGTTTAGCCAGTGTTCTTAAACCAATGTTATCAACGGCGGATAGTGGGTTATGGCAGAAACCCAAAATACTACCATAAAGTTATGGTGGCTGCCATGGTGGGCTATTGCAAATTATGGCAGATATAATAAAATATATAAAAAAATATTATAGGTCACAAAAAATGATAGAAAAGAATCAACTTAAAATATATGTAGCATAACCCACAATCCAAAGCATAATTTAATGCAAAATATGCAGTCATCAAATGTCAAGTTAACAATAAAAACAAAGATGATCAATCTAGTATTCTTCTTCAACTCTAATGCAATTATCTTCTTTCTCATCCACCAACGCATATTCCTCTTCCTCTTCTCTCCAAATTGTGGAAGATTAATTTTTAATTTATCTTCTGTTTCTTCTTACATTTCTTCATCATCTTCAATTACCAGTTTTTCTTTCCCTTTTGCTATTGAACATGCCTTGATCTTGGAAACTTTTTCAGCTTTGATAGTAATACCATTTGATTGACTCATTCTTTTCTTAGAATGATGCTTAGTATATATTTTAAACTCTTTAATTTCATAAGTTTCATAAAAAGCTGCCCAATTTAAAGTGTTATCACCATAAAAAATCAAGTCATTTCTAGCATTCTCATCATGAGCATCATTATCCGTCTTTCCAACCTATCACATTACACTTATCAGTGTCATTAGATTAATTACATCTTTAAGATTGTAATGTTCTTTGAGTTTTTGGTTATATTTCATGTAAACCAAGTCATGTAATTTTTTATGATCAAGTCTATGTCTCTTTTTTGAATGAATCTGCAACATAAGTGTAATTAAAAAATATTAATTAGTTTCTTTCTAATTTTTAGGAGAAAGTACTAGGTTTGAGAGATGAGAAATTACTTGTTCAAAGACACTCCGTTTGCGTTCACATTTGAATGTACTACATGTCAAGTTCAAAATTTTGATAGCTAGTTGCTGCAAATGTGAAGCTATAAAATCAAAGATATAACTCTGAAGATAAGGTCTTAATTATAAATTAATTATAATTAAAATGTTTAAGTTTGTGTTGAATAATTAGGAGCAATGTTTTTTCTTTGTATTTTTGCAAAGTTGGATCCAAAGAGATCACTGCCACTCTTATAATTGGTAATTCAAGTAGTATGCTTCGTTGCACAGCTTGACTTGGCACCAATCTCTTTTGATACAATTATACAACTCATTTGTAACCTCCAAATCAAATTCTATTTGAGGAGTGTCATATTAGAATTCTAGGTTTAAAATGTGACCAGTTGCATGCAATTTTATTAACAAGTCGATTTATTATCAATGAGTGCAAACACATCTTCGTATTTGTTTTTATTATTTTTGAATGACTTTATAATAGCTTCTTTACCTTTCTCCATTGCTTCATAAAGATATCCCATGCCTGGTTTTCTTTCCCTATCAACCAAACATAGCACCCGTACAAGAGGAGTCATATCTTCAAAGTATATACCACGTTGTTCCAAAATACGGGATTTAAGCCAATTTTTGTTGCTTGCTTCCTTTTAAGTTTTTTTGACAATTTATTATTACACCACTCTTTAGAAGTAAACATCTTTATAATATTTGCTTTTTCTTGATGAAGCTTTTCTAATGATAGAATAGAAGTTGCAAACTTAGTAATTGCATGTCTTACTAGTTTCCTCTTGTTTGTAAAATTTCTCAACAAACTTAAGGTACTTGAATAACTGTAGATAAAGCCAACAACAAATATATGCAATGAGTTGCACAATAAGTCAATAAAGTTGTGGTTTTTTTGCTTCTAACATCTTATCAGCCAAGACACAATTGCTTCCATTATTCATTATTGCTTGCACAACTTTATCTTCTCCAATGTCTTCCATAACTGCATTAAGAATCTTAAATAGTTTTTTACCAATGGACCTCACAACCATAGTCTTAGTAGGAGAGTTAATTAAGAAATTAATCAAACATCTTTGTTTTGATCGTTCCATGCATCTGACATGGAGGAAATTAGTTAATTGGTGAGAGTTGTTTTGGGTAGGGGAGAGATCAGTTTCTCAAAATCCTAGAGGTTTGTCTTGATTTTTCCCTTGTTCATTCTGCTATCACACTGATACAGGGTTGGCAGTTGGGGATTGGATCTGTAAAATTTCATTTCATTCTAATTTTGATCCAGTTTCTTTAATATTCTGTCATGAATATTGATCTCTAAATGATGAAAACTGTGATGAGCTATGGACAAACTCCAATGAAGCTTCTTAGTCATAGTTACACTGATATAGAGATCCCATTTTTTAGTGGCTAAATATGTCATTTTTCTTTTCCCTGTTTTCTATTTAGTTTATGTGGATGTCGGTTCAGGCCAATTGAATGTTATTTCTCCTAAATGATGCTATTATGCATGGGTTATTTAATTCTGAATTAGTAGTGCTGCTTTCACCTTTGCTTGAAATTTGAGAAGTTATTATTGGATATATCTCATGTCCATTTCTGCTTTTCCTCTTCCTCTAAGAACTATTTTACTTGTAAATTGTAATTATTATGAACTGATCTCTAAATGATGAGGACATTTTGGGCTATGGATAAACACCGATGAAGCCTATTTTTGTCATAGTTACACTGATGGAGAATCATTTATTGAATATTCTATATACCTTAACATCTTTTTAATAACGATGATCAATTTGGTCTAGCCTAATGTGACACCAATGGATTGTGTGAACAACTCTCTTGAAATGCTTGCTATATTTTTGGGGGAGTTCAAATTCTCAAGTGACATACATACCCTAGCACGTTGTTACCATTCAATGGATTTTTATTTAGTTTTAGTTGTAGGGTGAACTGAGTACTCTCATGTTCACATTTCAATAGGTTGCTTGGAATTGTTTCTCAGACAAAAAGTTTGTTTGTATTGGATACATTTTTTGTCTTGCATTTTAGTTATTTGCACATAGGGATTGAAATATCATCCTTTATAACTGAAAAGATGCAAATCTTGGAAAGAACTGCAATTTTTACTAATTCTTTAAATAGATTTAATGTATAAATATAAGACTTCCTCATATAAGGTTTACCACTTCTGGAATTTTATGAATTTATATCTGGCACCTAATAATCACTGTATGTCAAAGGGAGTAATGATGGCAACTTTGCCGAGGATATCAATGCCATATTGATTCTCCTCCTTTCCCTGTTGCCTAAACTAGAATTGGCTGGAAATTTAATGTAATATTGTGCTGATTTAATAGTCAGCACGCTTGTATATTGTAGCCAACATTTTCGCAACATTCAAATCAATGCCTATATATGTGTATTTGAAAAGTCTCAGAAAAGGCAACATTGCCGAGGTTTCCAATTCCATATTGGTTTCCTCCTTTCCCTGTTGCCTAAACTAATGTTTGGCTGAAAAATAGTTTCATGCTGTGCTGATCTTGTAGTCAATACACTTGTCTATTGTGGCCAACATAATCCCCTCTTCATTGTTTGTAAGTGGAAAAGAGAATTAGGTTTGTTAAATCTTATGCTGAATCTGATACAGCATATCATTTAGTAGGGCTCAAAGTATTGTAAATCTGTCAAGATGAATAATGCATGTGGAAATTGTCTGGAGATTTATCTTAATGTGTATGCTGATTTATATACTGTTTGTCTATTGTTGCAACAACAATAAATAGTGTTGCCACATAGTGACATTGTAATGTTCAGATCAATACCCATAGACGGCCTTGTTTGTTTTCTCTCTGCTGCATTGTTGCATTACGCCTTAGTGCACATAGTATTTTTATGGTGTTATGATCCATGTTTACATAAAAGTCCTATTGCAGCAATTTTAGATGAAATTTGTACATGTTTGCTGTAAAGATAAATTTATAATTAGTGGTTGCTACAGTTATGCAATTAAATGGTTGTCAATAGATGTCCTGATAATTTTTTTTTCCTCTGACAGAACAAGGATGTAACTGATGCAATTCAGAAAGTTGCTGCTGCCTATGACTGTAAAATTGTTGAGGGTGTTCTCAGCCACCAAATGAAACAGTTTGTGATTGATGGGAATAAGGTTGTGCTAAGTGTATCTAATCCAGATACAAGGGTGGATGATGCAGAGTTTGAGGAGAACGAAGTTTATGCAGTTGATATTGTAGCAAGCACTGGAGAAGGCAAGGTAATTTTAGCTTTATTAATATATTTACAAATATGATGCATCCTCTCATCAATTATTTAGTAAAGTTGCAATCTCTTGCAGCCTAAGCTGTTGGATGAGAAGCAGACAACTATTTATAAGAGAGCGGTTGACAAGAGCTATCACTTGAAGATGAAAGCATCTAGGTTTATTTTTAGTGAAATAAGCCAAAAGTTTCCTATCATGCCATTCTCAGCTAGGTAAAGCTTGATCATATGAACGGGTTTATATACTTTGTTCAAACTCATGGGTTTGAATTTGGTTCTTTGTTACACTTTAAATGTTAGTGCTTTTGTGATAGGGCTTTGGAAGAGAAACGAGCTCGTTTGGGTTTAGTGGAATGTGTGAATCATGAGCTCCTGCAACCATATCCTGTTCTGCATGAAAAGCCCGGTAAAATTATTTTTGGATAGAGGCTTCAATCACTTCATTAGATCTCTGCTGTTGTATTTTTGACACTCCTTCATGCCTCGTGTTCTTGGTTATTTTTCAGGTGATTATGTTGCGCACATCAAATTCACAGTCTTGCTAATGCCAAATGGATCTGATCGAATCACATCTCATTCCCTCCAGGAATTGCAGCCCACCAAAACAATAGATGATCCTGAAATCAAGGCCTGGCTAGCATTGGGCACAAGGACAAAGAAGAAGGGTGGTGGAAAGAAGAAGAAAGGTATAGGCTAAAATCCTGAATCTAGCATGCTTTCTATTAATTGCGTTGGGGAGCACCCTTGACCATTTGCGATGTGTTATCTCATTCATATAATATTGCATCGTTTTACAAGTTGAAATGTGCATGCATGTTCACATTAAGTGTCAAATGGAGTGTCAAGAAAAGCTTGGTTGTTTGCAGGTAAGAAAGGGGCAGAAGCTGAGCTAATGGAGGGAACAAATGGTGACACACCGCAAGAGCAAGATTGAGTTCCCCTTAACAAAGGCCCCTTTGGTTTCACTTTTGAGCCCATTTTTTGGTACATTTTTCACCAATTTGTATCTTGCTTGAACGTGAATTCAGTACAGCTTTTGGACATCTAATGTTAATAGGAATTTCCTTGTGCACTTTCCAATTGTCCTTCACCATGCTGTACGCCTGATCAAGCATAAATGCTTGTTTGTTGGGGGCCTATTTTACAAACCAAAGATATCAAATTTTTAAAACTGGATTTTATGTTTGGAAATGTGTTTTGTTCCTAGCTTTTTGGTATATGCACGTAATTGGATTGTTTTAGGGAGGAGTGGTTTCTCCTGCGTGACAAATGGTGCGCTTGGGTAGTCAGTTTAGGTATTTATTCAATAACTTTTTCATCTAAAAATGATTTAATATTAATTTGAATATAGACTTATTGAAATAACTTTAAAAAATTATGTAAAAAGAACTTGTTGGTATAGGGAATGACTACAAATTTCTACATCCTACCCTCTTTGATTTGGAAATGGTGAGAGAAGAGTTGTACAAGACCCAATTAATTTGGATGATTTGCAAATACAAAAGGAGGATGTTAGGCTTAGTAAAAAAACCTTGTGCATGAACTATCTAAGCCCAAAGAGAATGATGACGGTAGTTTGGAATAAACATAAGCTTCACAAACAGTGAACGATGTAAAAGCAGTCAGAACTTGAACTTGCAATTACGGTGGGATTACATTAAGATGCATAAGTGATGCACAGAGGGAGAGGAGTCAATGATACTTCTAGCAAGCAGAATTAATGATATCTTACACCTACGAAGGTCAAGAAGCAGTAAGGTGATGAAGTCTATTTAAACAAAGAGAAGCAAGGTTATTAGGCTAATTCAAATTTCATCCAGACTCCTCCACAGTGCAAATAAAGAGTTAAAGGCTGAAGAGATGGGTCTTACCATGCCCCCACCTCAGCCATGATTATGATAAGTTGGACTTGTTGTAGTGTGGCGGACACCACGATAGTTAGATAGTTCAAAGCCCTCTGCTAAAAGCATAAACCGTCAATGGTCTTCTGAATGAAGATTCCAAAACTAAAATTTGTTTTCTGTATGGATGCATAAAGGCTTTACGGGGGCTTGGCCTTATTGTGGAAGAATAAGTTTAAATAGATGTGAAACAATTTTCTCAAAATTAAATCCATATCAGTATTCATATAAAATTCAACAATGACTCAACATGTGTACCAAAATGTCTATGGAAGGTTATTTGGAATGCTCAAGTGCCTAACAAAAATTAAAACTTTACTTGAATAATGTGCCACAATGCTATGTAATTGGACTCAACCGGTTTAGTTTAGGACTCAAATGCAGATTTGTCCTATTAGGAATGATATTACAAGAATAGATCCATGGTTACGGCACATTGTTCAACAACTTAAATCTCAATAAGATTTCTATGACTAAGCCAACGTTAAAAAATGACTATGGAGATGCCATGGCCGATATCGTTAGTGATTTCTGCAAAAATTGCCACAATCATGGTAAAAAATTAGTGAGTTCATGATGGTGGTACCAATATAGCTATTACACATTTGGTGACTAGGGCATAAATGACAGTTTTAGAGCAAAAAATTGAGTTAGGCCTTCGACTGACCTAATCAAGAGTAAGACTCGTGAACTAAAACTCTAAAATCTTAAAAGTTTTTCCTTTCTTCCTTTTGACCGAATATCACTTTGTTTCAACCACTTTTTCTTCTTCATCTTGACATTTTTGTCTCTCTCTCAATGTCTGTGTTTTTTGTCAACTGTCACTGTTGCATGTCTAATGACCTCTACTTTTACATCTCTAACTTGTTGCAACTCTTTTCCTTTTTTTTTTTCATTTTTCCCACTCCCACTTTCTCTTTTTTTCTGTTTTAAATTCATTTTATTTCAACTTTTCTTATAGCTCCATTTTTCTCATTTGCCCCTCTTCCACTTTCTTTGTTCTATGTTTTAAATTCATTTTTCTCTTTTTTCCTTCAATACAATCCTTTTTTTATTTTCACTTTCCTTAACATGATCAACAATAGTTTTCATCAAAATTTTTAAGAGCTTTTAATTGTTCTAACATTGGATGAAAATACGCCTATTTGTTGACAAATTGTTTTACAAATAACATTGTACAATTTTTGTGAAAAAAAATTAAGAATGCAAGATTATTAGAGTGAAACAACATCTAATTAGAAAGAAGGATAATGATTCAATCTTGCCATGAAGTGTCCAAAATAAGTTAAAAAGGAGTTTGAGACATATCAAAAAGAAAAAAAAGGAGTCAAGACAATTTTGAAATTCCAAATATGAGGGGCCTTGAAAGTATAGGCTATGATGAAAATGAAAATGAACAAGATAGCTTGACATATAGTATTGTCATGGAGAATAAAAAGGTTGATAAGAAAGGGTCAATGAATTTATCTTATAAGAAGTCATAAACTATCATTGACAAAGGAAAGATGTTAAAATTGAGGCAAAAAAATATAAAAGAAGTGTGTGATAAGGAAATAAAGAAAAATGTCCATCAGTATATAGCTCAATTTTGGTATCAAGCTGATATTTTTTTTTAACCTTATTAAATTAAAGAGATTTTAAAAAGTGATTACAACCATAGGACCTTTGGTCCAAATTGCCAATTTCGAATTATCATGGGATTAGAGTTCCAATTCTAAATAAAGAGTTGAATACATTAATTCTCTCTTTAAAAATCACAAGGAGCAATGAAGCAAATGTGGTGCATGGATCGATTGTTAGCAAATATGTTTGATTGATTTCTTAGTAAACTCTCCTGGTGAAACTTTGTTTGTGAGATCCATTGATGAATCTAATTTTGTAATGACAGGTGAAAATTTATTTGAGTTGTTGATACTCTTGTGGAGGAGATTGAAAATTATAATAAATAATGGAAGCAATATGCATGTCTTGACTAGTAAGATGTTGAAAAAAAAAGACCACATCTTTATTGGACTCTTTGTGCAGCTCATTACATATACCTTGTGCTTGAAAATATTGAAAAACTTCCTTTAATAAAGAGGACACTTCAAAAGAAAAAAAATTTCTTGTTGGTTTTATCTTTAGTTATTCAAAAACTTTATGTTTGTTAAAAAATTTTACAAATAAGAGGGTATTAGTAAGACATGTCGTTACTCAATTTGCAATTTCATTTTTATCATTAGAAAGACTTCATTAAGAAAAGACAAATCTTCTAAAATATTTACTTTTGAGGAGTGGTGGTAAAATAAATTGTTAAAGGAAAATAAAAAGAAGTAAGCAACAAATGTTGTAACGATGTCTTCAATTTAGAATTATGTGATTTACACTATTAAAATATTGGCTCTTCTTGTTCAAGTGCTTGGTTACTAGTTATGAGAAACATTTATGAAGCAATGGATAAGGCTAAAGAAACCATTATTAAGTTTTTCAAAAATAATAAAAGCAAATATAAAGATGTGTTTATAATCATTGATAATAGATAAACTTATCAACTTCATTGTTTGTTGCATGCAACTAGCATTTTAACCTAAAGTTCTTTTATGACAACTCTTAAATAAAGTTTAATTTAGAGGTTATGAATGAATTATATAATTGTATTAAGAGATTGGTTTTAAAGTTAGACTTTTAAAGTTATAATTAATCAGTGATTTTGTAGCTCAATGGTGACAAATATATATAGATCTAGCTCTAAACTTGTAGCGACTAATTATCAAAATTTTTAACTTGACATGTAGTGCATCTAAATGTGAAGGCAATTGGAGTGTTTTTGAGCATATAATTTCTTTATTTTTTTTCTTTTATTTTGATAGTCAAACATTGTATTTTCTTCTAAAAATTATAAAAAACTAATTAATATTTTTAATTACATTTACATTGTAGATTCATTTAAAAAAAAGAAATAAACTTGATTACAAAAAATTAAATAACTTAGCCTATGTGAAATATAACCAACAACTTAAACAACATTACAATCTTAAATATGTAATTGATCCAATTACACTTAATGACATTGATGAGTATAATGAGTGATTGGTTAAAAATATGAATAATGATGCTTATGATGAGGATGTTGGGAATGACTTGATTTTTTTTATGATGATGACACTTTAAATTAGGAAATAATTTATGATGATACTAGCCGTATCTTGATAAATGAAAGAATATATATTAAGTGATATTATTGTTAAAGTTGCCAAAGTTTTCAAGATAAAGTCATGTTTAAAAAAAAAAGTCAAAGTGATGATTGAAGATAATGATGACAAAGAATTAGAAAATGAAGATATGTATGATAAAACAAAATTAATCTTCAAGAATTTAAGGGATATGCTTTAATAAATGAAAAAGAAAATAATTATATTAAAATTGAATATAGAAACTAGATAATTTATCTTTATGTTTTTATTGTTTTTTTTTTCTTTTTTGGTTTTCCATCCAGTTTAGTTCGGATCTAACCCGAGTAGCTCACCTAAATGTGGTGAGTGAATCTACCACTAGAGATTTTTTGCATACACGAATCCAAGATCTTACTTAAGCGATATCGAGTGCTTGTTACTTGGACCCTTATTTTTTGAGTGGGATGACAAAGAGGAAGGGAAAGAAGTAATCCAACAGTGGGAGGATGGTTGGGCTGATGATGTGAGCAATGATTTCTCTCTTCAGCTGAGAAGGGAACTGGAGAACAATACTGATAAGAATTAAACTGCCTGCTAGTTATCATTTCTTGATAAAATGTGTTATGACTTGGTGTTCTAGCTTTAGTTGTTTTCTTGCCTTCAAAAGAAATGAAAACTATGCCTTGTTAGGAAGGAAGTGTAAGGTAGTAAGAACAGAACATATGGGACATAAATTTTCTGTACTTTCATGAGTGTCTCAGTTGTGCAACAAATTGACAACCGACTAAATTCGTGAAAACCGAAGTATAGTTTTTATATCTCAGATGGGTTAGTTCAAAATTAAAATTTAACTGGTTAAAAGTTCGGATATTTGCAGGTATAATTGGTTGGGTGCAGATTTAAAATTGTGTATCCGACCCGACCGACTTATATTATCTGTTGTTAACTATTATACCCATGCCTAACTCATTTTATACCTTTTACACGATTTGCTAACAAAATTTAGGGTTTTATTGTTTCACTTTTATAAAATTTGTATCTTTTCTCTTTTGTTTGCGCCGTTTCTCTTTTTCTTCTTTGGAGTTTCTCATTTCAAAGTTTTTTTCTCACCATTTTTCTTGTCTCATTCTTC